AAACAAAGAACGACAGAAAAACTACCAATGAAAATAAATTTTTAGTGGATTAAATCTTAACTGAATACTGTGTAATATGCATGCTTTGGATCTGTCAATATGAGGAATCAATCTATAGGGAGAAGGGGGGTTGGTCACAGTATATGGTGAAACAGAAGTTCAATGATGGTGAGGGTCCTTGATGAGCTGGACTGACACAAAGCCACAGTGATGGAGCTATGCATGCCAGCGATCTTAGGAGAGGGCTTCTGTGGCGTGGTCTTGGGCTAACCCAATGACCAAGATGGGCACTCTCTTCCCATGTGATTTACAGCCTCAAAAACCCACTGGAGAGTCAGCTATGAATGAGTTTCAACTCAACGGCAATGAGGGATGGAGGGAGAGAACTCAAGAATGATGCGAGACTTGGCAACACTCAGTTCTGTTGTCCAAAGGGGTGGTTTGACCTGAGTCAACCAGAAGGTTGCCATGTAAGCATCTGCCTATCTATAGCCTTATATCTGGACATGATGTTCTCTACAGTAATGTACACAAAAAGCTTTTTTGTTTTCAGGTTATTATTATATTGCCCCCAGGAGCTCTGGTCCAACAGGGAGGGAGCCTATACTGCCTCTGAAAACCCACTGAAGGGTCACAGTATTGTTGCCATCTAGAAATTTGGTCTAGTCTTTTAATTTTTTCAAGTGTTCCCTATCAGCAGGTCTATTTGTATATTTCATTTTTAGCACCTTCACTCACAAAATTCTAATAACTTTAAACTATTCCAGACTGCAAAAAATCCTCTGGCTCTTCACAAGTTAGCTTATTTCTGACTTTGTGTTATCTAAATATATCGCATCTTCTTTCACAAGCTGAAAAAGGCAGCAGCTTGAACGAGGTGCGAAGGAAGAAGGGTTGGATGATGCCTAGGACAGGTCCCTTCTCCAAGTGAGAGAGCTATGCTTAGCATCCTTTCATGCTGGTTCCAAACACTTGGAGATGGTTCACATTTTCTACCTAACAGAGAAATCTGCCAAATTAAGTCCAAGTGTGATGCTTGTCTCCTAAGTCAAACTCACAGACAAGACTTTATACTTCTGACCTTTAAAGTCGGAAACAGAAAGGTTAGAAGCATGAATAATCTGATACACAAAAATCTTCTCATTCAAAACCTGTTACTGTTGTTATGTGTCACTGAGTTTGAACTGACTCACAGCTGACCCTCCAGTGGGTTTGCAGAGGCTTTAACTCACACAGGAAGAGACTGCCTATCTTCTTCCCTTGGAGCAGATAGTGGATTCAAACTACCCTCCTTTGGGTTGGCAGAATAACTCCTTACCTGTAGGCCACCAGAGTTCCTATTTTTTAAAAACCAACTCAGAGAATTTTTTGAGATGCATACTTAATCCTTACTATGTAAACAGAAGTCTTAATATTAATTTCAGTATTTATATATTAATTTATCAAAGCAGAGACAAAGGTATTCCCACTAACATGTTTATTTGAAAGACCTGATGATTAGTATTTTTGGCTTTGTTACAACTCGTAAGCTGTGACTTTAACACAATGCAGTGATAGACAAAACATAAAGCCAATGAGCACAGCTGTG